AAAAAAAAACTAAACAAAAAAAAACCCAGTAACAAAAAGGAATAAAATAGCCATATACTTCTGCTTCTATAACACTAAAGCAGTTTTTCTAAATTTGCTGGTAATGTACAGAGATCACACGACAATAGAACACTACAACTGCTAGTGAGGATTTTAATAAGCAGTACCAACATTTTTTGGGCAAGTGAGTTTTGTAAGAAAACCTTTGAGCTTTAGGTCGTGTCTGAAAAAAATGTGTCATTGCTGATTGTCACCGTCACGGGCTGCTGCCACGGGGTCTGTGAGTGTTATTGTGAAGAATTACATATCAAGAGCTATCTTAACACCCACTCCACGACACATCCACAATTTCAACCCAGTTTCCCAACGTAAATAGCCAAAGGGAGTTGATTGTATGGCAATACTTGTGTAATATTTGCATTGTGTAGTTCCACTAATAGATCTAAAGGTAGGTAAGTGCAGAATAATTAAGTAAATGTCAGGGTCTTGAAGCAGGGGGAAACAGGAGGGCTGAGCAATCTCTTACCATCAGCGTGTACAGTCATTTTCTGTCCCCGTGAGGGATGTACAGTGAAAACTGGTGCAAAATAAAACCAAAGAGCACAGTGTGGGCTCAGCTAAACCTGGCGATAAAACCAGTTTCAGAACTAGTCTGGTGAAGTGTGATTTGATCAGATGCTTCATGAACAAATTGCTTTATTACTGATACTGCTAATGATTTGTAAATTAGTTGCAAGCCTCCCCGAGTGACTGACTCAGTGGCATTTACCAACTTTTCACATACCCCCGTTTTTAGGGGCTGAATTTATAAAACACTTCCCTTTAGTCCTTTGAATTAAATTTTCGGTGGCATTTGATGACAAGCATAGCATGATTAATTACAAATTGTTCTTTAGGTGAATAGTGCAGATTCTAAACCACAGCTTGTGTTTTTATAGCAGTTACTACCCTGCAGGCTCCAAAAGGGCTTTGGAGGAGAGAGTATGATTTTGGTTACATCATTGTAAATTCAGAAAACGTCAGTGATCTCAAAAGTGTGATTTTTTTGAAATTAGGTCAGTGGAAAAGAGATCAGAAACTGCTTTGCTACCTGAAAAGAAGCAAGCTCCAAAATGGAGTGAAGTCTCTGGTTCCAGATGGCTTTCCTTTTGATTTTGCAAAGAACGTATTTGTTAAAACAAGTAATTTATTTGAAATATTATAGGGGACTGCATAAYAGAGCAAATGATAACCTGAATCCAAAATGGATTATGGCAAGCAAGTTGTAGCAGGGAATATTTTTGTCTTGCTGATTGTTCTGTAATGACCCAGAAGCTCTACAATGCCATTTCATCTGGCACCATTGTGGACCAACAATATAAAGCCACCTCAGGGTTTCTTATGTATTATCTCCCAGTTAAATTGATTCAGGGTTTGGATTTTTTGTTCCTGGTTAACTGGTCTTTTGACAGCTACAGTGTACTTACAAGTTTTTGATTTTTTTTTTCTGCCCTCTGATTACAGAATGCATAATATTTTTAACTTGATCTTAAATTGAACTAAATTTTTCAACCAAGGTTGAGATGATGATTGAGATTTTCAGGAGAGCATGTAGTTCTCTGTTGAATTCTCACTTCTTGTCATCAGAGGCTTTGGTAAGATAAGGATTACAGTCTGAAACCACTAGAAATTACAGGTCAGGAAATGAATGTAAGGTCTTGCAATGTTGAATAGTGTCAAACACGAGTCCTGTAGCTGAGTTTAGCAGAGAGTCCATCCTTCTTAGGGAATGTTGAGAAGGAAACAACCAGAGAGGTGTTTGTGGACTGTGAACACCTTTCAGGGTTTTGTTTTCAGCTTTTGTGTGTGGTCGAAGCATGTGAAGAGCAGCTTTTGAGTACCCCAGGGGTGTGACTCATGAGGSCGATGAGCAATAGTCACCGGCTTTTCATCTGTCCCTCGCTTTGGGCAGCACGTTTTGCATCCTGTTTGCGAGCAGCTCTGTGGCTTCTCGTCTCAGAGCTTCCCTTGAGCCTCCTCTACTGTTCTCTTCCACCCACTTKGGAGTATTCAGAAGAAATAAGGTGGTTTGCATCTCCTGTTGTTGCTGTGCTGGTGATCCCAGCGATGGAGGAGCGTCCTGGGGGATGCTCTGACTGCATCTCTGCTTTTCAGTCCCTTACCCAGATCACTGTTACTAGGGACTGTTCTGGCTGAAGTTGTTTGAATTGATCTTTAATTATCTCTACCACCAGGAAAAGGAGGGAAACCTATATAAAAATAATCTATATCCTAAGTTATGGAATAATTGACTGTGTTTGGGAGTTAGTGCGAAAAGCAAAACTGCTTKTAAATATCTGATTGAAAGCAAACCCATACATTCAAAATACAATGTGTTCCTAAGTCTTGCACATTCTGATTCATATAAAAGTTAGACAGTATCTTTTAAAGGTCAAAATAATCTAGTCATCAGAATTGCTAAGTAGCCTTTCCTGAAGTAAACTCATTAATATAATATTAAGGATTAATTTTATAGGAAAAATGAAGACACTGTAAGGCCTTGCAATGTATTTCTTCTTTTTCCAGTGTAATTTTCCTGAGTAATAATAATAATAAAAATAAAATATATGTTTCTAWAGTAAAATATTTCTCTATTTTCATTTTCAGATTTGGAACAATTCTAATGTACTCGGAAAATGAGTGTCCTTCTCATTGAACCCTTTTATGGTGGTTCCCACAAACAGCTGATGGATCTTCTCCAGGAAGAGCTACAAGAAGATTGTGTCCTCTGCACACTCCCAGCCAAGAAGTGGCACTGGAAGGCACGGACTTCTGCTCTTTATTTCATGCAAACAGTGCCAACAAGTTCTAATTACAGGTAACCAAGGGATTGAATAATTTCTAAGCTGAAATTGYAGAGATGTCTTCAACCAGGTCTCTTAATCTTAATCCTTATGTTCGTGCAAGGATGTGYGTGGGAGCAATTAGAGGCTTGCAGTGGACAACACAGAGTTTTTTTCTTGGGATAAAACTAGGAAATTATATGTTTTATTTAGAATTTCTCTAGTCTGTGAGAGTCTTTCAGTATCTGGATACCTGATGTCTATATATGTATGTGTATCTCTTGCTTGAAATTTATCAAGTGAGTTCAGTCATTCTGAAAGGTTTAAACTGTGCTTCACAGATTAGGCTGRAAGATGGCACAGATGTGAATGCTGCAAGCTTCCTCACGTGCCCTCCCATGTATCTATTAGCAAGTCTGATTTATCAGTGTCCTGCTCAGGCTGACCTGGAGGATTAAGGGGGCAGTTTTATCTTAATGATGGTCCGGTTCCGTAACATGGGTGTCAATTATACATTTATGTAAGTGGCAAACTTCCATCTGCTAGAACCTGGGCTGATAAAGGCGGGCTATTTAGGTCAAGATAGCTATCATGTAGTGAGAATCAGTCACTCCAGAGCCAGCAGTTTAGCTTGGTCTACCTGATCAGATGAGATGTGGCGAGGTGATTGTCTGGAGCAGAGAGATAGAGCTTGCAGAGCATTGTGGGGGGACTGTGYACCTTCACTGGGAGAGAGTGTTCATGCCCAGGGTTATTTTATCTGCTTTTCAGYAGCAGAATGAGCTTCAGCAGGCCTCTGAGCACACCTGAATGACGTGCCAATGAGTTGCAGTTCAGAACTGGGTCTGGTATTTGTTACCACGAGCCAGTAGGTGCTTCCTGAGGAGGGAATAGCATTTTTCAAGAGTAGATTTGTGCTGAAGAAGGTTGCATTAGCTCAGTGTTACCCAGCACAATGTGTAACCCCTTTTGGAACACATATTGTGTGAATGTACACCTTTTCTGTGCCTGCTTTTGGCTCCCATTTTAAGCAATCTCCCACCCCAAGTCAAACGTTAAAATGAATTTTCCCTGTTTTGTCTTGTGCGAGGCATTTAGCGTTGGTTTCCTCTTGCTTTCTTTTTGCAACAGTTTTGTTTTGGAGGAGTGTACATGACAAACTGTTATGTAAATTTGTCTTGTATCACAACCACATCCTCCAACGCATCACAATGTTATCTGTGTTCCTTCAAGGTCAGCAGCCCAAGCTGTCCAGCACTAACTGTATTAAACTAATCAGACATCACTCATAGACATACACTTCATTAGTTTAACTTACAGTTACATTGACCTAAGATAACTTAACTCCAATTTGTCAAGTAACCCACATCTTGGGGAAAGGGGGAGGGAGCGCTGACAAAAAACCAAGAAAAAGCAAAATCCCACAAAAAACCCAACAACCCAACAAAAAAACCTCAACCCAGCAGCCTGAAAACTCACTTGAAGTTAATAAACTTGCAATCTGTCATAGACTTATGTGCAAATACAACCTTTACTGACAGCAAATAAATCTGATCTAACCAATGGAGCATCTTAAGGAGAGGAAAGCATTTTCTTTGCTGGTGCTGTTCGGGTTGGAGCAGAGGGAATCAAACAGTCAAAGTTGACAAAGATGCGATGGTTAAATTAGAGTTTGTACCTTGTCCTCGCAGGCAGCATAAAATTTTAGGATCAAAGGCTGCTGTGGCTGGTGAGAGGAAAACTGATTAGAGGTACCTTCTACTTTACTTGCACATTTTTAATGTTTGTTTCGTAATTGAATGTTTCGATTATTTTATTAAATTGAAAGTATAAGTGCATCAGGGTGCAACCTAGTAAGGCTGACTACTCTCCTATTAGGAAAAAAAAATTGATTAAAATTAATTTTGATTCTGTTATTTCTGAGCTTTCTAGTAACCACTGGAGATCAGCTTCCCAGGTAATAGTTTGTAGAAACAAAATTCCATTGCAAACTGGTAGGACTGCTGTTTGGAATTACACATTTAAATATTTCAACCTTCTTGTGAGGTCRTGGAAAATACCAAATTTGCATTACTTATAATATTGGCATTATTTACAGAAAAAAGCCTTTATTTTATTAGTGCTTTTCATAAATGTGGCATTTCGTAAATACCTTGTTTTTATTTGTGTGTTTAATAATGCAGAAAGGTCACAGATATTTCAAGTGCAAACACTTCCGATAACGGAGCTGCCTTACTAAATCTTTGTGTTCAAACTGTACTTTATTTCAGGATCCTGGTATGTGTGAGAAATAGTACTGATGCTGTTAAGTCTGATATTAGATACATTTTAGAGAAACAGTGTAGATATATTTTAAAGGACTTCTCTCCATGTAAGCTGATTTTTGGAAGGAGGCAGGTTCTTTAGTTTACCAGGGACACTCAKGGAGTAAATGAATACTCTTAAAAGTGGTTTTGAAACAAAGGATGCAGTGAASAGCCGTAGATGTTAAATTCAGATACTGTGCAGTGAGAAGAGAATTTCTGTGATGAACTTGCTAATTGTGTTATCAGAGAACAGACGTGTCCTCCCTTGAGCAAGAACTAAAGCTGAGATGGAAACAAACAGGGCATTTAATGTTACTTTTRTGAACTGTACGGTCCTTCTCTTGGTGTGCAGTAACATTATGTTCCCAAGAACGTGGAGATCTCTCCAGGATTGTCCCGGGGTGAAGGTGTCCTCACCCTCCACGGGAACACACGGAGCTGTTGCGGAAGGTGTTGGACACTCAGTGTTTGATCTGCAGCACTGCGCGGATTTATATTAATTCCCTGATGGAAAAAAWCTGTGTTGTATTTCTTTGGAAAAGCGTTGCTTTTCCATTTTTTTTTTCTGTTGAGCAGCGCACTCAGAACACTCTTCCTTTGTCTCCTGAGAGGAGCACGGGAGCCCCGAGGAACGGGAAACCCGGGCACGGAGAGCCCCTTCAGCTTGGAAGGCCAGAAGGAGAATTTAAAAGTGGATAATTGCCTAGAGAGCTTGAAATGTTCTCTTAGATTGATGTACAGCAACCATAGATCAAGTTTTATTTGCTGTAGAGCCACACATGATTTTTCCTTAATTGGAAAGAAGGTGCTTGGATGTTGCATTGGTRTGAGGAGTTTTGTTCTTGTGGTAGCAATTTCCAAATCACGGCATACGAAATGCATTGAAAAAGGGAGGAATTGCTGTCTATTTTCTCTAGACAAGGTTTTCAACAATCTGGGAGTTTTGTTAGCAGTTGGTGGGTTGTTATCATCTTCATTCCATGGATTTGGAAGGTCCAGCAGAGTTTTCTCAGGCTGCTGGCACTCTGCAGGGCTGCTGTGTTCTCTGCTTTGTGTCCCGACTTCTTTCAGACAGTTTGAGCTCCTTGATAAATGGGGTGTTTGATCTTYAGCCTAAAGTTGTTTTCCATAACACACAGTAACTATTCCGTAATTCTAGACATGTAAAAAAAGAATTGGTTTTAGCCTTTTTTTCTTTCTTAACTAAAGGAAAGTTCTCAAATTTGAAAATACTGTTGCACAACCTAAAAAAAAAAGCCCTTTTCTTTTTCCTGTAATTRTTYWCTKYAWTRMAGWRAAYAATCTATTAAATTAMAAATMGTAAAACACCAGTATRACCYATTGGATGAAAGCAGTTTATATTTTAGGAGCTGTCCTCTACAGAAACTAATTCAAGCCCAAGAAAGTTAGGAGTGTAAGACTTAGCTCTGTAAAACAGAGTGACTGAATTCAGTGTAGCTTCCARTGTGTTTTAATAGCACTGTTAGATTATTTTAAATATATATATATAAATATTATGTATAACATTCAGTATTGCCCCCCAGGTAGCTGTTCATATGAATAAAGATTTTATTTGTAACAGATTCTAGCCTTGAAATACCCCTAGGGTAAATGTTAGCATATATATACCCCTTGATATTTGACAACTATATTTTAAAGACAAATTCTATGCTTTTTACATTTTACAAAAGAGAAAACAAATTATTGTTTTCAATTAATGGAGCTTGGAAAAAAAAAAACCCAACCTGGGGGTGTGGTGTTCAGCAATGGAGAGTATATTCCAACAGTATATAATGTAGATTTGGTTGTTTTTTGATTTTGGGGTTTTTTTTTAATATTCTGTTGAAACTACTAGATTTAAGACTGCTTCAGATGTGATRCATTTATTCTATTCTATGAGGACAAAACACATTTTTATAGAGTGAATTCTTTATTAACTAGTGGTCTGTGTCCCCTAAATATCTTAAAAGCAATCCTTAAATTTTTACTCRAGTAATCCTTTAAATTTTTATTTAGAGCAGTTCAGTCCTACTGAAAACATAACACTGTCCGGGTGTGTGAGTGTTTGCAAGCTTGAGGATTTAACTGTTTTCTAGGTATTTTATTTTCAGAAACATTCCTGCTTGTCCTGGGGAAGGTGTTTGAGGATGTGACTAGAAGCAGGGCAGGGCAAATTTCAGCCATTTCATTAAATCAGAATACACAGATACCCATTTATGCTGGATACACGCCTGCCTTTTGCACCTTTCTGGGGTATACTGGAAATGTTTGTATAATCTTTGTAGGAATTGCAATAATCTGTCCTGCATTAGAGGCCTTCCTAGAATTTGGCCCTTGTAATGCTCAGGTTAGGAACGAATRAACTGTGAGTAGAGGAGTACATTAGTTAAAAGAAGATAATAATTTGCCTACAAATTTAAAAAAAAAAATCTGATGCTGTTTGGGATTTTTTTTTTTTGCATAGTTTATGGTGTTTGCTTCTATACATAGGTGAATTAACATAAATCTCATTCATAGCAGTAACTACTAAGAGTGTGCATTTTGATGTTACTGCTCAAATCAACTGCATTTGAAGATGGGAAGTGGCTCTTTTTGGAATAACTGAATAATTTTCTGCCCAGAGGTTGTCTTGGTTTCRCCCCACATCTCTGTTGCTCCATGTGTTTTAACTGCAGTTTTGGGTGAGGCACAAAACTGGAGAGGAAGGGAATGTGCTCCTAGAGATGCCT